CACTGATGTGTAAGGCATTTAAAAAAAAACTGCGTCACGTTCCTAAAATCTGACAAACAAAAGGACAATTGACGAAGTGAACGCCTCGATACAGAGTCTCCGAGATTGTGCTTCGTTGAGGATCATAAAACGAACCCTTGCGTGGAATGACACTGAATCGGCGTCGAAGTACGAATGACTCCGTCTCTCCTCCCCCAACGACTCGGCAACATGACAACGGAGCTGTGGATACAAGCAACACCCAGACGCGTATAAATGTCTTTCAAATCCTGATATAAATGCTCATTTGCGCTTCTCTGTTTGTGTCTTTACTTAGGTGGCGTTTTCTCTCTAGTCCACCATCTGGGCTTGTTCAGGCGGCGACGGGCGCAGCCAATGGTCGCTTTGTAGCAGCAGGAGCAGGAGCAGCAGGCGCCTCGAACCGAGACCGTAAATTATTCATCAAAGCGAGGATCTCGTGGTGCGTCCTGGGTCGTCAGTGCATAACAAACAAGCACTCTGGGAGTCCCGACATTACATAGACCTCCAAAAGCAGCCCCGGAAGTGAATTAACGCCTCCAGCTCGCACAGAGGCCGCTTCCAGCTCCCCTTTCCGCCGTTTAGTGCGGCGGCAGCTCTCCCACTCGGTCTCTCTGCGTGGAGGAATGCGAAGGGGTTTTCTCCAGTAGCGTGGGGGGGAAACGGTGTCCGATAACCGGGAGGGAAGTCGGTCCAGCGACCGAGCGGATGTCGACTGCGTGCCCTTACTATGTTGCTGTTATTACGCTTGTTTACTCCCGTGTGGAATAACATAAACATGAGGTGTGTGTATATGTTTATCCTCCGCGGTGCTCAGGTTGCAGCTCCCTGAGCCGCTCTAAGAGAAGTGAAGAAAAAAAACACACTCACTTCCGTTTCAGACGCGAGCATGCGCGTTCCCGTCAACCGGGGGGCGTGGTCACTGGTGCCCGACGTCAGTTACTGGCAACGTCATTAAACTCGTGACAGCGTCTATTCTATAATATACGCAGTGTATTTATTAACCTTAATGTGAGAACAACACAACACTTATATGTAAAAGTTGGAATATTAAAAAAAAAAACAGCTAAGATTAAGGAAGCAAGTAAAGAAATGCTTCAAACAAACATGACTTTCCAGAAGCCCGAAAAGGATCATAACTACAACATGGACGTAATTTATAAAAAACATTCTAAAAAATAATAATTTCTGACTGTGGCAACATAGTACAATGCCAGGTGGAAATTTAAATTCTTTCTGTATTGTATTGATTTAATATGCACCATTCACACCTAACTAAAAAAAAAAAATTTGAAAATAAAAATCCATGACTTTGTTGAAAAGAAATTTAAGAGATTATATGATGATGAACAAAAGCAACTACTCCTACCCACAGTGTTTGAACTTTGTCCATGTTGACACAGAGCTGGAACCCCCCCCCCCCCCCCCCAACAGCATTGGCTGTGTTGACTACCATCCTGTATGTTCTAGAATAATTCATGTGATATGAATCACCCTCCACAGAAGCAGCTGAGACAGGGACACACACAAACACTTCTCTGTGAGGATTATCGCCGTCTCTGGGTCATGCACGTACAGACGTACGGCTGTACAGTAATTTGCTATTATTTACAGCAATTTTCCTCTGATATGGGCCTTTTGACAATGTTAAGAAATCACATCTGTCTATACCATGTGATGGCCCTGATGGCCTATTTCTACTCTTACCCTAAGTGCTCCTTTGACAGAACTTAGGAACTTGAGAATTAATAAACTAAATAACTATTTTATTATACATAATTTTTTCTCCTACCTTGCAGCGCCATCTGCAACTTTGTTATTCCAAAGTTTCCACTACGTCTCCTCAGCACACGTGCATTCCATCTCCACCTGAAAAATTGAAATTTGGGACGCAAAAATGGGGTCACAAGCCAAAAAAGGTTGGGAACCATTGATAAGTCATTCTTTTGTCTTATAAGTTACACTGTAATAATCCATGATGTAAGCTATTTTACATCAACTGTCTCAGGTATATACAGTATCTCAGGTATCAGTGGCTCAGCACTGCCCACTAGTGGGGTCAAACACTAAGGTATAAAGAGTAATATTTTAATAATAAAAATACAGTTGGGCCACAAGATGGTGAAATATATATTTTTTATTGATATGGTTATTTCTTTAAACATTATCCTATTTCCCCAAGAGCCCCAGAACTTAGTACTGTAGAACAGGAACCAACAACGTTACTGACAGCTATTCAGCTAACCTTTCATCCACAACGCAGCACTTTGACTGTTTGTCAGCAACTGGAGCAACATCCAACAACGGAAACAGCTTACTATATATGTGCCCGGTGTCCTGCAATGAAAAAAAAAAAAAAAAGGCTCTCACATCAGTGCAGCTACCAGTGTCTACTGAAGATACACAAAACAAAGTTTGAATTAGCGCCGTATCATTCGACCAAATATATGTCAATGCAACAAAGAAAAACCTGAGCTGAAGATGATACAGTTCTGTTTCCAGGCCAGGCTGATTAGATTCCTTTACTGTAAGTCAACATAATAGACGAAAAACATATGCGTCACAAAAATGTAAAGGACAACAAATGTCAATTTATTAGACCAGAACTTCCTGTGAAACCTGCAGAGAAACAGAAACAATAAAGCACACTTGACAGTCAGCGGCTAAACGGATTATTATTATTAACAATTATGTTACACTGTGAAATTTATTCATGAGCACTTTTTTTTCTTCCTTTTTTTAGATAAGAGTTGCAATTTAAGTCCTAATCTCAGGATGCCCACTCTACCAAACATAGTGTTGGGGTTGGTTTTCCAAGGTGAAATAACACAAAACAGAGTGATGAGTCAGCTAAAACAAAGAGAAAAATATTTACATTTGACCTAGACGATTCTGAACAAAAAGAATGATCAGATCCATTCTACTTTTTTTTTTTAAACTCGTAATTCAAAACAATACGAACGTGAGTCTATTTTTTCCTAATTTAATCTGTCATTTTCACAATGACACTGAGGAAATACAAGATTATTTGATCTGTCAAGTAGTTCCAGGGAATCCTACGGAATGAATGTCGGGAGTCGGTCATTTGAGCCACACTTCATTGGCCCATGAATGATTGTGGTGAAGCCACCGTCGAGCAGAGGAAATGTTAAGTGTGAAAACTTGCTCTTGTGAGGAGTTAACGGTTTTCAAGTAAAGAGAGAGTTTGGGCTGAAGGATGCAGGCTGCACAGAGGAGGCGGCTGCCAGCACACAGGTATTCACTCTCAAGGCTTTGAATCCTGGAAGAACGGGGAGCAGAGGGACGATGGAAGTTACTTAGCAAAATTAACACCCCCTTAGACTCTCACACACACACACACACACACACACAAACCAACAATGGGGCTACCTTTTCAGAGTGATCGTGAGGCTGGAGGTGGTGTTGTCCAAAAGTTGCAGGATGACCGTTGCATTGACAGAAATGAACATCTCAAAGGTGAGGACCAGCTCCACCTCCCACAGGTGACTGGGGACGATCAGTGTCATAAAACCAGAGGGAGCCGACACTCCTGGGTAGTAACCTACACTCAGAGCATCTGACCAACACACACCAGTTGTAAACCTCGAAATGGCTGACTTCATATCCCATCATTTAATCTAGCCAACCTGTAACTTTCATTTAAAAAAATTTAAAAAAAAAATCATTTCTCATTCATTCAAGCAGTAACTTACGTTTGAAGACTTCCCTTGCACGAAGCCAATGGTTTTGTTTCCCAAGATTGTGCAAGAGTTTACGCAGAACGACCTGGTTCACTTTCAAGTTATTAGACAACATTAAGTCCACTGTGTCTGAAGCTACAGTCAGGATGTGTCTGTCCACACACACTTGGAGGTGATGTTCAAACACTGGCGAGTAGCTGAAAATATCAATCAAGTCTAGGGAAAAACACAACATCAACATCATTTTTTTTTTTAAATCTGTAGTTGGGAGTTTTAATTCCCGTTATTGTTAACAATATAAAGTGGAACCTGACGTATTATGCTTGCATCTCAAGCTTACACTGTATGTAAAAACAATTAATAATATACACAGTATATTGTGAGTGTAGCTGTGTAGTAACTTAAAAAGACGGGAAATTCTAAGTTGGGTTTAGAAGTAAGGATTTTCAAGGTCTCTCACCATTTGGCTCTTTAATTCCAGGAAGGTTTGAAAGAACCTCCAGTGCGTCTCGGTGAGATGTTTTCTCAGCCAATTGCATTAGCACATGACTCCTGCTTGTCAGATCTGCAGGCTCACACGGCCACAAGGGAGCACTCTGGAACCAATTGTTTTCTATACACCAAAAGAAAAAAGAAAAAAAACCCACAAACGAATAATTAGGGCAGAAAGAGTGAGTCACTATCCTATCATAAATGACCAGTTTAAATATAAACAATTTACTTTTACATTATGGACAACAAGTTGTACTGTACAACTACCAAGTACCAGATCCAAGAGGAATGGAATTCTGCTTAGAATTGTTCCGAAAACAAACATTCAAATCCATAGCATGACCTCTACACAGGATTGGTTGTGACTTGAGTAAACAAAGACTTCTCCCAATCTAATTACCATCAGGATGTCGGGGGAAATCGAGCTGCTGTTCGTGAAAAACCCAAGGAGGAAGAGAGGGAAAAAAAAAACCCGTTCGCAGTGCAGAGGTTGGAGAAAAGACTTTGAATCACTTGTAAAGGTAGAAGAAAGCAGACCACACTGTTTATGTCTAGGAGAATTGGAGGATTTCTCATCTTCAAAGACGAAGTGTATGCAGCACTGACTTTCACATACTAACAAAACCCAACTTTAAAGAGACAATAAAGATTGAGTTTATCCTTTATTCTTAAGTATTATCTACACTGTTTTTGCTTTGTCTGACCTGCTGAGTTAATTTATTACTTACATATAAATTAGTCAAAGTGATACATATGAGTTTAGTCTAACTTTGTCTCTGATTGACACCATCTGTTTTAATCTTACCTTAAAAAGTGACTATAAATCAAAACAGGCATTTCCCAGTCTAGGTCAACTCACAGTTTTTGTTTTTTTTTTTAAAACTGAACAACGACATCATCTTAAAATGAAACCTGCAGAACGTCCATGGCTCCTCACCTCTCAGTGTGCTCAGTGCTCCTTCCACGCTGCCGCTCAGCAGGANGGCCTTGGTGATCAGTGAGCAGCGTGATGTTCCATCCTCATTCCCAAACAGACTTTTAAGTGTGGAGTAACTGATTTTGGAAAGGGACAGCACCTCCACCACCCTCCGACCCTAAATTTGTAGACACAAAGACATACACGCAGAAAGGCCCACACCAGTAATACAAAAAAAACATGCAACAGCTAAATAAATCAAAAAATAAAAATAATTTTAAAAATGTATATGCATTAATGGGATCTATTTCGGGTACTGAGTTTATATTTATTTACATTTTATATACATAAAATGGAAGTAAGATCGTGGCGTAGCCTAGTGTCTTTCAACCTTGGGGTTACGACCCCATGCAGGGTTACCTTAAATTCAAACAGGGTCACCTGAAATGTCTAGTAATTGATAATAAAAATTACTGATAAAAATATTTTCTAACTTAAAATAAGGATTAAAACACAATTGTATTCTTTCACTTTCATGAATATTGAGTCCATATAAAATGCAGCACATACATTGGGAAGCACTTGTTTAGCCTCTTATATGTCACTTATGTTTTGTATTTTAATGTCCAAACGAATACACATTTAAAAATGTATTTTACAAGTTATAGGTTTGCACTTACAACCACATTACAAGCAAACTCGATTAATTTCAAATTTTCAATTACGTTATTCATAATTTTGGGGTGGGGTGGGGGGGTGTTACTAACCTTGGCCCACTGGTGCGTTTTGTGGTACCTCAACATGAGTGAGACGCCAATCCTTCCAAAAAAACTGTGAACGAGGGCATCTTCATTGTCACCTTTGCTCTGAAACACTGAACACTGAAGCCATTAATGATCATGGTTCATTGATCAAACAGGTCACATTCCATTTCCTTTTTTATTTAATTTTACTCTTCACCTGCTTCAGCGAATGTAGCAAAGGGCACCGACAATTTATCTTTGATGTCAGAGAGGAGAGCGATGGCAATGTGACCGCAGATTTGTTCTACGTTGTTGGGATGATGGATGGACTGGCAGATAGACCTGAAAACCTTTCCCATCCTCCTCCAGTCTTCCTGCTTGGTACAAAGCTGACAAATGGGTAGAATTGATGACAATCTATTTTTATCATTGTGAATTTAGCTACCAAAATATTTATTAACCAACCTCGACCTCCACAACGGAGTGGGCCAGGCTCAGGTAATCTGGAAATGGAGCACTGAGGAATAGCGTATTATGAGAAGCATGACCATAAACAGTGTCATTCAGGTGCTTAGAAAATGTTTTTATTCATACTGGAGAGGAGAATTCGACTTACCCTTGGTTGGCTGACAGTGACGCACTGAAGTCATGATGGACCGCGTGCTGGAACTCTGGAGTATTTTGAACACATTCGATCCAATCCAAATTCAATACCTGACCTTCTCTGGCCATCTACCAAAACGTAAATAACAGATCACGTTAGTCACACATTACTAGGTATAAAGTTCAAATTATATTTAACATTTTCAGAAATCGTGATACCTTGAATGTAAGTTGTATGAGTTCAGGAACACAACCCATCAGACCCTTCTCTCTCACAAAGTTGTACAGAGCCAGCAGGAACTCAGGGCCAGGCTGTAAATAGAGAAAAGGTGTCTATTTAACGTGCTGCTCTGCCCTCTACTGGATTACAGCTTCAGTTGCAGCATGTCATGACATAGATGAGGGGGATGGAAACCAGACTCACCGCAATCTTGTGGGTCAGGCCTGCTCTGAGAACTAAGAGGACACTGGACACCATGTTGGCTCTGAGCAGAGACCAGAGCAGAGTCAGAAACACTGACATTGAGAAATACAGGCCAGGCGGGTTGTTCAGGTAATAGCCTGCAAACACGGCCCCTGGAGGGGAAAAAAATTACATAATTACATAATTTCACATAGAATGTTTTATATCCTGTGGGGAAAAAAGACTGGAAGATAACAGGAAACTACAAACTTCACCTGCTTTCAGAAGACATATTGGCTTGTTGATAAACTGTGTCACTTTTTCCATGCAGAACTGAAAGAGAGAAAAACTAAATTGGTAAAAACTTAGATAGTTAAATAGATAGTTACTCTTATGTTGTGAACAAATATTTTAACTACATTGTTCCTGGTGTGTTTTGCAATTGCACTCAAGCCCAGAAAAAAAAACATAGAAACTCATCAAGACATACCTTCTCATCTCCCTCCATAGGTACATGTTGGAATCGACACACCTTGAATCCACACGACATTGAATCGCTGAAGTACTGTCTGCAGTACTAAAGTTTAAGAGGAGGACAGGTCCCTATTTTACTCAAAGTATCACTCAAATACAATTAAGTACAACATTCAAAATACTGTGAAAATTCACTATTAAAAATTAAAGTGTTTTCACGTGTCACCATTTACGTTTGTTCTGGTTTGTTCTGGTTTGTTCTGGTTTCTAACAGTATTAGACTTCTGGGGTCTGAAATTTGAAATGTTGGTTTGGTTTGAGATCCTTGGCTCTGTGAGAAAAAAAAAAAGTTTATTTTTGTGTTGCATATTTTGACCATCACTTCAGCGTGTGCAGTTTTTATTTTACCTTCACTGTTTCTCTGACTCATGAGAGGGGAGATTTTCTGCTGTGGGCCTAAGGTTTGAAAGCACTGGCTCGCTTTACTGGATAGGAAGATAGAGACTGATGATCAAAAACATTTCATCTGATGTGCCTAACAAACGTTCTAATGTGATGGGTGCAGCTACCTCCTCGGATGATTATTGTTGACGTCAAAATGGTCCTGTTAAAAAACACACAAAAAAACCCCCATAAAACAGAGGCCCGCTAATTTATTTGAACCTTCGACTACTATAACTACACCAAACGTTAAATGATTTGAATAAAAACTGTCTGCTCGTGATTTTGTTTACAGAAATGTTAAATTTGCCTGCTTTCTTCGAATATAGATCTAAGAGAGTGGTCCAAACAGTTGTAAATGTCCATAATTTTATAAACTTTACTTTTCCTTCAGGATTTTGCTCCCGTTTGTCTGCGGGATAAACCTTGTGTCTGGTTTGCTTGTCTGAGGAAGGTCCTGGCTGTATTTGCACTGCAGGGGGATTTCTGCTACCCTGGGGTCTCCAGGGTCTGTCGTTATCTTCCTCTGGACAACATAAATAAACAAAGGATTAAGGTCAAATGGATGAATGCATTTTGTGTCTGACAAGTTGTTATTTTGCTACCATATGTTCAATAACAAAACACAACCATTGACAAAAGAAAATAAATACAGGAGGTCCCCTGTTACGAAGTCCTCGCCCCAAGAGGTTTCTTACTGAGGTCGCCATCTACCATAAACCTATTAAGAAAGTCTTGTTCCATCATTCTGACGTACACCTTAAAAAACTACTTCCCACAGAAACTAGCAGATCGGATGACCACGCCTTCACGCAGTGAACTCAGCTTTGTTCACATTTGCCGGTTGTTGTTTTTATGTCCTAGATTATGATGTCACCACTGTAACTCATGTGCAGTATGCAAGTCCTGACTTACGGCAAAAATCAACTCAAGTTGAGGACCCACTGTAATATATTCTGGACGTGTATTAGTGCAACGGTCTTACCTGTGACATCACAATGGTCACTTTCAACGTTCGCGACAACTCCTGATAATCTGAAAAAACAGTGGAAATTGGACATTGGCACAGTTTGTGTCTACACTGTAATTTATCCGAGTGACGTGAAGTTATTCTCTCATACTTCTGGTCAACGTCAGCTGACGCGTTACATCTCTTCACGGACGATCTGTTAGCGGCTTTCCACACTCTTGTTGGACCAAGTTTAAGCAAACCCTTCTCGGGAAGGCTTTCAAACAGCTCGGGATCGTCCTGGATCACATCGACAAGCAGGATATCCCTTTCGTACGCTGAAAACTCGTCCAAAATGGTGGCGTCTGTAGCAGCAGCGTCCTCTTTGTCAGTTTTCTCCATTTCAGGTGGACTGGATCTTTCTTTGCTTCTGGAAGAACAGGGTGTTTTTGACAAAACGTGTGAAGGGACAATTTCTGAGAGAACATCCTGTTGCTCATCCTCAGAGTTTTCAAGTTCATCCTGAATCCCATCAATCACATGGACACTGTGATTGTGCGAAGGGACAGATGTAGAGTTGGACAAGATTCCATCCATTTCTTCATTTCCCTTTGAAGCTCTTTGGAGGATGTCAAGACATGTTCTCCTGTTTTGATTATCTTCACTCATATGAGTCACATCATGTCCAGGTAATGTTTGCTGGTTGGTGGAGCTTTTCTCTTTGCTGCGGGACACGCATCGTTGGGGTGAACGAACGGGAGAAAGTATTGGTGAAAGCAGTAACTCAGCCATGTTTGAGTCAGTGAATAGTTCTTCGGTTCTGTTGAGTGACAAGGAACTGTGGTGTGTAACGTTATCAGGTTCCAGTTGTGACGTACCTTCCCTGTTGCCTTCTTGAGGCAGGAAGGATAAGGATTCACAAGAATGAAATGAGTTGGAGCTGTGCAGAAGAACAGGTGAAGATGTGTGTAAAGAACAGGTCAGCTGCATTTCGTCACTGCAAAACAGATGCTTTTCTGTTACCAGACGGCCAGACGATGTACTTGTGGAATCTGCCAACTTTGTCTCGGTTAAATCCAATGAAGGGGAAACAGGCGATGCTATGGCTGAGAGGCTGTTCTGTAAGAGGTTCGACGACACGGGAGACTTAAGTTTGGTAGTTTCCCAGTCGCTCAGGCCAAGCTCTGAGGGGGAAGAAGTGGACATGGAGCTGTCCAACTGCGGTCCTTTAATTGGTGTAGATTGGGTCAAGCCTGGGACTGACACAATTTCAAATTCAGTACAAGAGGGAGTGTTGTTCTTATCCCAGAAAACACTGGTATCTATACCACATCTTTCTCTGTTTGTGGGGACTAAACTATCATCTCCAGCCTTTGTTTCGTTCACCTCTTTTTTAAAGCTTTGGCAGATTGTGTTTGATGAAAAGTCTCTAGGTTCATTTGAGAGATTGTCAATGTGATTATTTTGATGATTTGATGAACAGATCTGTTCTTGATTCAGTGATAAGTCACAGTTGTCTCCAGTAGACAGGTGATTGGCTCCTTTTTGACATACCGTAGTATCAGCGTGTGCAGCGAAAGTGCATCGTGTGTTTGAAAAAGGCCAAGGCATGCATGTCCTTGCACAAGAAACGTTTTTGTTTACTTTTCCGCAGTAGACCCGGACTCTTTGGCAAGTGAAGGACTCTCGATCATTTGCTTCTACCTCATTCTTCTGATGGTGGACCTCTGTGGGATCAGATTCTTCTGAGTTACACATCTGTCCATACGGATAATCAGGAGCAACGCTGTTTTTCTCAGCCCAGTTATCAGTCCTGCTGCTACCACTTGATTCTTGACATGCCTTAAAATCGCAAGATAGTTCTGAATAAACTTTTTCCAAAGAGTTACTTTTCAGAATGTCTTTGCAATCCACGCCCTGGAAGTCAGAAAAAGCTTCAATGCAGTCACTTTGTGGGCCAATGTCCTTCTCAACATCTCTGACCAACATATTAGTCCTGGGCTCGCTTATATTAGAACTTAATAAGAAAGAATTAAAACAAGTTGCAGAGCCTTCACTTGTCTGATTGTTGAGGAAATCAATCGTGCTGCACCTGGAAGAAATGTTCTTTGTCATTTGTCTCTGATTGTAGGCCAGTCTTTTCCACTGACTTGTGCTTTTCTTTGCCTTAGACTTAGGACACAACCTATTGGTAAAAGGAATAGTTTCAGTACGGTCTTGTTTGCTAGGCCAAACACAACTAGGCCTGAGGCGAGATCCAGTTCTCATGTCACGTTTGAAGCAATGTATTCTCTTGGTTTTAAGGAAGTAAGTCAACTTATATCCACAGTTGTGGGTGCACACATCACATTTTTGAGATATGTCACAAAGTGTCACTCTTGGATATAAAGCAATTTCCTTAGCGCTTGTCTCTGATTGGCCTTCACTGGTCTTAAACTCGATGTTTGGCTGCCCTTTTTTAAGTGGTGTCTTCTTCTGTGGCGTGAGGTAGTTACAATCACCAAAGACATTACAGCTGGTAGGTGTGACTGCTTGTCTCAAAGACCGTTCGATAGCAGCATCTCTTGGAGATGTATTGAAATTGTACTCTGCAAGTGGACATAAAAAAGTTTCCTATAGATTAGAATCATTTGACAATGTTTGTTTCAGGAAAACGTATCCCACATAAACACACACACATTGTATATACATTGACATGTAGACAGACAGTATATATACCACAGCTGCTAAGCTATCAAAACTTCTAATCATGAGTAATGACAGGATGTGGTTGCATAATCACAATTAATGACTAATTATTAATTACTGGAACAGAAAGCCATGAATTTGTTTTAAACTTGTTGTTATGGGGATACACTATAGAAAATATCAAAAGTAATGAGCGAAAAGTTAAGTTTGCATTTTGAACCTGAAAACATTTCCTGAAGTGTACGTGTAGCATAGACATTAACTCGGTTTTATTTCCAAACATGTCAACAAAAAGAAATGTCTTAACACTTAAGAACACAAGAAATAAGAATAAACTATAATAAAACAAAAAATGTGGCCATTGATATTGCTTGGATAATTACTTTTGTGCCCAATATCGTTTTGTTTTATAATTTGAAATTACGTATGTAATTTTTTTGAAGTTTTGGGACGCCCCTCTCGCCCTTAGCAACCGGCTAACAAAATATTAGCATTTGTATAGCACATTTTCAGCTACATTTATACGTTTGTTTATGTCACCTGTACGGTAAAGCAACGACCTTATCTAAAAACAATAAGAAAACTTTGCCCTGCAGCATTTTGGTTTAACATTTCTAATTTAAACTAGAATCTTTACTTTCGCGGTATTGACCGTGAACTTGTTCCCGGTCTGTGTGTTGCGGTGGGACTTACCGTCAGTGTTGGGTCTCTCTCGGTTCGCCGTACAATCCTTCGTACTGTGTGAATTTCTTCTTCTCTTCGTTCTTTGAGTATCTACTCGGCATTTCTTTGCCTCCATGGAGTCAAACGCTGTAGCTGTCACCTGTTGGTGTGTCACCTCCTGCTCTGTTGGTTCCGTCGTCACGTCACCTAGCGTTCTGCCTTCACGTTTACGCCTTGGCACCATTCTAATCCCAACCACGTCTTTAAGCGCGACACGGTTAAGTTTGACTCGGCTCGAAGACGGTAACATAGTGAACATAGCAGAAAACGAAACTGGAGCACGCAAACCTTTTTATCCCCTAGTTCCGATAAAATGCAACCAAAACATTCGCTGCGACTTTTACCGTGTGTCTGCTTCAACTAGCATTTCATACTCCCGCGCCAAACCCCTCTGGTCAAACATAGAAACTACAAGCCGACGTAACTGAAGATGACGGAAATGCGCATGCGTGAGGTTAGCATAGCTTTTTTGTAAGGTCTATATTACAGTATTTCGTATAACAGCATCGTATAGAAACAAACATTAACTTATACATGCACACCAGTGAAGTTAAACACCGCGGTATTGTTCTCTTGACATTTTTAGACTGTAAAAGGAAACAAAATCACAGATAAAACCCACATAAACTTGACTTCTCACCTTTAAGCTAACAGCTATCACACCACTGTTGACAAAAATGACTGACAACCATTCCAATTATATCCACACCTACAATTTAAATTGTCTTAACCATTCCAATTATATCCACACCTACACTTTAAATCGTTTACAAAAATCCCAAATTTAATCCCCCATTTACAAAATCCCAAAACTGTTTAGAATGCAGTCATTTTTCAGGTTCAACGACACACTGTACATCCACTTGTTTACCATCCTATCATGCATTTTCAATTTTAGGCCCTTGCTTTACCATTACATTAATATTGGTGGTTAACGGTTACTGGTTTAATATCATTATTATTGAAAAAGAGTCAATGACATGAGATTAAAACAATACCTTCACAGTAGCTTTAAATGTTGGTACAACAGGTATCATTATTATTGAAAAAGAGTCAATGGCCTGAGATTAAAACAATAGGGAGTAGGGAATGTGTTTTATTGTTAAATATAATTTATGCTCATGTACGTATGGAATAACCCCCAATCAAATGCTTGAAAATATTATATTTATTGTATAAAAGCATATGTTTATCGTTACTTGCACCGATCCTGATATACAGTAAAGCTTGGTTCCTCACCAGAGTGTTTGATTGCAGGTTCTTGAGAGCAAGATGCTGTGCTGACACATACTGTACCTGTGGAGATAAGCCTTCACATGTAGTCAAGTCAATTTCATTATACAACGGTACCAGTTAATGTTAGCATTTTTGCTCACCTCACATTACAAAACATTAAAAAAATGACATAAATCTATTACACACAGTAAAGGCTAACAAATAACCATTTAAACAGTTGAAGTGATTAGCCCTTAACAATCACATTTTTAAACATGCTAACACACACTAAATATTAGGGGGCATTTTTTGCTTACTTTTTTTTTATATTTAAATCAAACTATTTTGTATCCATCACTTGAATCTTACTCAGCTCCACCTGCAGGTGAGGTGTGGCTAGGAACACACTTAATGCTGGCAAATGCAGAATAGTATTATTAACATAACAGAGCTGCGGAATTCCCCTTCAAGATATAGGCAATGATAGGACCCTGGTGTTGGGAAGTAGCCGGTCCGTGGACTGTGGCGGCCTGATTCACAACACCAGCTGTCCCACCACACCGAGACAGCAGATGGCACACCGAGGACGAAAGATGCTCTCCACCGAGAGGCAAAGAAGTGGTTCCAGAAGTACAAAGTTAGTTCTCCACTTCTCCACTCTTGTGTTGAATCGATGCTAAACCTGTGACAGAAGTGGAAAAAAACATCATGCAAATTAGAACGGGAGGAATATATGAGGGTACTATCATAAATCCAGACAAGAGGAATTCTAGGAGTCTCTGGTCGTCTCCACCCCCCACGCTTCTTTACACCCACAACTCACTGCTTCAGCTCTGGCTCTCCTGGTGCTCTCCACAGTGCCAACATCATTAATGCAAATTTTATAATCACAGGAATGTGCACACCGTAGACAGGGATATTAGCTTTACTTTGCATATGAAATGAGTTGGGATTAAAGTGAGATAAAGAGTGAAGAGCAGGAGTGTTATGAGCTAGGTCACTCATGACTTTCCCAATATTTTCTACTGGTAATTCACTGGTAGATCATGAGCAATTAAAATAAACAAAAAATGCAATACTAACATGATTTTATAGTGCGTAGTAGTGATCATATACTGTAAGAATTCAATCATTTTATGCCATATAGCTACATGCATTTAAGCAGTAACATACAATGTGTTATAATGCAGCTAAAACAGGCATAGGCAAAATGCGGCCCAGGGGCCGGATGCGGCCCGTTCAGATTTTTAATCCGGCCCACCAAGCCTTTCCAAATGATATAATTTACCCTGCAATACCTATGTCTCCCCAATAGATGGCATAGAACATGCCCATCTATTAATTTGAGGACAATTATGTCCTGCGAATCAAAAAGTTTGCCCACACCTGGGCTAAAATAATGCCCTTGACTGATTGAGAATCACTAGAATAGTTTGTCAAACGAATTAAAGACATCCATTACGTTTTGGGTTAAATATTTTACCAAAGGCAGTGTCTTCTGTATCTAAATTACACGTAAAAATGTGTAAAAAAGCAGAAGAAATGTCGACCTATGAAGTAAATGCTGTTCTGAATACAACAAACATTTTATCACTAATTGTCACTGTTTTTTTTCATACAGGTCTTGCAAAGTTTTAAAATTATGGACTACAGTCTTCTGGTGGGAATCAACAATGTAGACCAGGCTTGTCAAGAGCAGCGGTTTGAGGAGGCGGGGGCAGCAGGAGCAGACCAGAGGAGGCCACAAGTTCAAAAGTCTCTGTACAGCACCGCATTAGAAGCCATTCAAGGAGACACAGGAAGCATGGGGTCGATGGACACAGAGGACAAGTGAGTGGCAGGGCTGTCTATGAATATAATGTTCACTTCGATCGTACAATATTTGGTACATTTTTACGGGGACCCATATTTTAAAAGTACTTGCCCTTCGATCGTACAATATTTGGTACATTACAGCAGTGTTTCCCAAACTTGTAAACTCCTAGGCCCAATCTTTGGGGAAACAATGCATTACAGTATACAGTAGTGGCCCGTCTACGGAAAATTCCGATTAAAACCCAACTTGTTAAATTGTTGCTCCAAAACGATTAGGTTGTCGACCGAGGATAATGCTAAAATACTGCAAATTGATTAATTGCTGTGACCGTTATTTCTACAAACTGTACATTTATTCTATACAGTGGAATTTATATACAGGCCAAACAGTTGTTTCACATACTGTATATTCCTTTGTCTCTCACAGACCGGTGTGAAGCTGACGGGAACACATGCAGTAGCGGTGAATTCCTTTAAATAGCCGTGCCTGCCTCATCCTATGGTTGCCATGGCAGCCAGCCCCTTGTTTCAAGATAAGGCCCATGCGCCCGAAGAGAGTGAGTACGAGAGAGAAGGGAACGCCACGGATCCACGTTGCTGCAAGCGAGCCGTGCGACCACTCAATGGCCCGTGTGAATGTTTTTGCATGTTCGCGTCTGGGGGTTGTGAGAAATAATCCATACCTTCGGCTGTGCATTTTGTGTGAGATCAATCCACAGTAAGGAGATATTTCTGCTTCTTAAGAATGGGTGTGAGGAAAACGAGGGAGGATGGCTGAAAAAAAAAAATGAATGGATGACAAGAGGATGAATAATCTGGATCACAGATTTACATTTTTTTTTTTTAAATACGCACTTCTAACCCATGTGCATGATATTTAAGCGTCTCTTCCACCTCGCATTTCTGTCTCATTCCCCCAGATCCTTTGTCTGGTATCCTGCTCACCTTCTTACCAGGTTCTAACAGCCAACTATTGAGTCATGTGTTTAACTGAGGGTCAAACAAGAGCAGGTCAGCGCTACGGGCGTCTGGCGTGTACACGTCTGCATGGACGCCACCATAAAACTTAGACTAGTTTTTGAATCCACACTGTTAGTGCGTTCAGGTAGAAAATTAATTATATTAAATGAGAGGCGGGTAAAGCACATCCGCATGTTTATGGTAGAAAAATGTCAAAAAATAAATAAATCATTCAAATGCAAAAAAAAATTATTGAGATTAATTCAACCGGTCAACGCTTGGTTATGTATGAACTGATTTAAAGAGATTTAAAATGGAAGCATTAAAGAGTACAGAATGCAGTAGCACCACTGTCATTTAAATAAACAAGCAACAAAGCAATTCTGAAAAATACTCATTTACAAGTCAAATTGTACAAAATGGGAATAAGTATTTTTTTAAGCATTGTCAAAATGTAAAAAAAAAAAAAAAGACTATAAATTATTAGTCGCTGTTTATAACCGTTTTCAGAGAGAACGGTTGGATTTTCTAATGCCCCGGATACAATTTGACTCATGAATCACAACAACTTAAACAAATGTACCTTTAAAACTTTCCTTATTTTACCTGGAAAATAACCTGAGACGAGTTAAAAGTCCTCTCACGAATAATCGTCTTCATGTTCTTTAGAGTCTGGAAGGGGAAAAGGACAGTAAAAGTCACTGATGAAAAGGAAATAGCCGTTTATATTTATTCTTTTTTTTTTTTTTTTTTTTTTTAATAATTTCCATTGAAAATGGAATGGCGCAGTAGAGTGGAGGAGTCAAAAGGGAGTCAATAAAGATGGCACCCTCAATTTCCACTTTAAACACACAGGCAGGCTGATTGCATTTGAGAGAGCTGGGTGCGCCTCAGCACCTCCTAATGCATCTGTAAATTGAGTTGGAAAATGATGTCTGTTGTCTTGCCTTTTTAGAATGGAAGCCGTGGAGGCAGAGAGCCTCGCTGCGGAGAACGCGGCCCCATGACTGTGGTATATAACCACACCATTAAGTATCAGATTTCGACTTGTGTCAAACCCTATTGTCTTTAATGCCTTTCCATGCTGAGAGAGATTTTTTCTTTCTTTTTTTTGAAATGTCTCACATTTATTTCCTTGGCAGCGTTCCGCTTTTTTATCTCCAAACCAGAGAAGAACACATTTTAATCACATTTTTTTGGGGGGATTTTAATGCTATTACGCTCGTGTGTATATAAATAAACATCTCTGTCTTGCGCCCGTTTTAAAGGAGATGAACTGGTCAGCGCTAAGAGCAGTGGTGATAAGGATGCAGGCTGAGCATTTGCCAAACATCCATTTACTGCTCTTTACTTTGTTCTAAAAGGATGTAGGGCAATCATACACATGCACACACACACACACACACTCACACTTGGATCCGGACTAAATCTTTAACCTGAAAAATGTACCCACAAGAACAAAGTGTCCCCGCGAAAAGCACATGACCCCGCAAGTCCAGTGATGTCCTCTCATTTCCTTCATCAAAAATGTGTCCTTGCAATGACATAAAACAACACCGTCACCTTTTTATGATCTCATTTTAAATCATTAGCGGCGTCGGTGTAAAAACCGTACGCCGTTTTACACCAGGTTCCGACCCTATTTGATGAATTTCCTGTTTAACGGCCAATCAAGTAGCATTTAGCAGGATCATCAAACGTTAGTTCACATGTTCTAGAATGTTGCTTTTTGCTATTTCTTTTAAAAGGAGAATACGGTCTTCGCCCAATGAGGCTTCAGCTACTGCAAATGTATAATGTGCATGTATTTAAAGTAATGGCCTCATCACATGAACACTTGACAATTACTGCGAGAAAAGGAGAGATGCATAAAGGCGAGCCCTGTCGAGGGCCGTCTACAGGTAAGCGAAGGGCGTTTTTTTTTTCCTCTGCACTCCATCGTGAACGCAGTGACTGGGAATGTAAGGCAAATTAGAATGTGTAGGCCAGACCCTCGACTGCCACTTCCAAGAAGCGAAACACACACCGCACACCCACGCAGACGTGATAAGGCCTGAGTGCTGGTAGTCATTTAAATCAACTACGCCTTTTTTTTTCTTTTTTCTTTCCCCTCAATCGCGTGTCCCTGATGAACCGCGTGCATTTGCAGTTTTTTTTTAAATTAGCTAAACTGCCGCTGCTTGAGCTAAATCCACCGACGCTTATACCTAATCTGTACTGCGTGCGTGCGAGCAGTACAGCCCAGCAGCGAGCCTTGATTTTTCTTAGCTGTAACTGTCAGAATTGACGTGGGAAGCAATGGTCTCGAGAAGACAAAGGAGTCGTTGCTCTTTTTGTCGGAGCACCAATCAATAAAACCCGGTCGGTGTTGGGGAAACATTTTCTGCGATTGTCGCGGAAAACCTGCCGCTTAGTGCTATGTAATTTTTTTTTGTGCTTAACGGACTCCGTCGCTGTTTTTTTGTATGTGTATTATTCATCTCTCTTTAGTACAAGTGCAGATCTATAAATTTACAAGTTTCTGCCTGATGTTTGCAGACGGGTTTGGCACAGGGGCACGCCAAAAGAGCACTAACCCTGATGACTCCTGCAGACAGCCCGTTCTGGGCAGGGCAGAGCAGAGCAGAGCAGGGCAGGGTCAGTCTGGCTGGCTGGCCGGCTGGATGTGATGTGTAGATTGCTGGAAAGTTGGCCAGGTGGCTGACTGGATTCTGGACCGACGGTACAAGAGCTGTAAAGAAACAACAAGGTCAGCTCTTTGTCAGAACACACTGCGTGTGCTGTAGTGCTGGCCTGTGAAAATCCCAATGTTCTGAAGAGAGGGAACGTGAAGCAGAAAGGCAACTCCCAGCCCTGTCGTTGTATTTTCAAAGCTGAAAGTATTTTTTTTTTTTTTTACAGGAACAGCGAAACACAATCAGAAGCTGTTACTGTGAGGTACTTTCATATAATGGCTCGTAGTGTATAGTTATACCGGGGCTGGTAATTACGGATTAGTACGAATCACCAGTGAGCGGAGACTTCCCCTTCTGACACAACGGAGCCGGCGAAATGGAAAAAGCCGGAATATATATTTTTTTGTACATCCAAAACGCACGTAGACATAAACAAGATACAAACGCACGCACGCACACACCTCAGACCTACACACTTCTCGTCGGCCATCACAGACAGGGTGCCGGCTCGGCAGCCATTTTGCAATGCTGCTCTGGAATGTTCAATTAAGTTAAATTGTTGCCCACGCCATCATTGCTCAGCATTATAGTTAAAAAAAAAATCGGAAGCACTATAGCACCAGAGTTACTCCAACCACACATCAGAGTCAAGAATGCCCTCAATTGTGTGTCCTTAATGTCGAGGCCGCAGTGTAAACCAGGACATATACGCAGCCGGCCATTTAAGTGGCTGTGCAGCCAGGCATGAGCTTCACATGGCGTGGATGTATGCGTGCCGGATTGTTGTGGTTTGTAATGTATGTGGCTGAGGGGGTTGGTGGGGGTGGGGGGGTGCGGCACGCCCTACAGCTTGTCAATGCTCACATATGAAAGAGGAGGGGGGATGAGTGTGTGCATATGTGGAAAGGCAGAGGAAATGGATAAGGGTGAGAAATGCAATAAAATGGAAGAGGAGGAAAAATAAAAGGGAGAGAGAGAGGAGAGGAAAGGCAGTGACAGACAGAAGTGTGGGACTACTTCACATCAGCCAACATTTTTTACATACGTACACACACACACACACACTGTAACGCTGTTTGAGGCAGATATTGTTTGGACAAAGTGCGTCGAAATGTCCGCTGCCATTTTAGGCTAACGCAAACGGAACCGTTTCTGTCTACGTTCCATTTGTCTACTTCCAGTTTGAGGCCATGCCTCCACACACTTCCTCTCCTGACGCTGATGCTCGGTGCATGAAATGGCAAAAAAAAAGAAAAAAAAGATGGGATTTGATTCAGAGATACACAGAACAATGACTTTAAACTGTTTCCTTTCCTGACACAGCATTTGTTCAACTAATTTCCATTTGACCAATTTCGAAACAAACCGAACTGTACGGCGAGCCCTTCCACAGAGGTCTGCGATCACATGACATGGTATGAACAAAGGCCACCCAAAGATAAGTGCACATCTATTACAGCTGGTGGCACAAAGAGGGAAATGATGATGAGGTATCACACACGGATGGGGACGGAGGGGTCTACAGCCCCCTGTGAGATTGAAGGAGGTGAACAAAAAAACTGCCTGGTGCTGCATGACGGGGGCAGAGTCATAGTAAGCTATCAAATGGGACAAGTTGAATACGAGGGAGTCGAGGGGGCCGAGAGCGGCAGAAGAGCAGGAGAACAGCGGCGCAATGCGCACATGTGTTCCTCCTGGAGATAAATGCCACCTTACAGGGGCAGCTTTGACACGACTGGAGGGACATGCGTACACGGGAGACCTGCGTATACCATTTGACATATTTCCCACCCCCATCCCCCTCCCCCTACACACACACCTTCCCATTCACATACACGCTTGCTCAGAATATGACACGAGACTGCACATATGATTCCCCGCCCTTTGTCTGGTTTTATCGGTCATCAGCGGCCGGCAGTTCTTTATGTTACTCTGCTGTCATGCTCCCCCTTTTTTTTTTTTTTTTTTTTTTTGCATCTCCTCCTCTCACATGCACATGTATGCACACATACAGTCTCACACACACACACACTCCAGTGGTCATGTGCACGGCAGTTGACCCTTCCTGACAGTCTCCCCTGGTATGTCTAATGCAAATTACAGTTGTGTTATGACCGACAATAAACCGCCGTCCG